GCCTGCTATCACATCCTCTTCACTCAGCACAACTTCAGAAACAGTCAGCACAGAAAACACATCGACCATGTTGACTCCCTCGCTCACTACAACGGCACTCACCTCTGAAAAACCGACTACACCTACAACTACCACCACAAACTCTCCTCCTACAAGTACCACTCAGGTAGCTAATTCCACCATAACCACACCTCCAACGACTACAACTCCAACACCAACGACCACTTCTTCCACCACACCCACGACCTCCACACCACCAGCTTCCAAAACAGACACAATCGTGACCACTAAAATGACCACAGCCACAGAAAGGACCACCACACCCACTCTGACAAGCATGTCCAGTGTCACTTCCATGTACACCGCCTCCAGAGAAAGCACATCCACTTTGATAAGTAGGTCCTCTCCTACTACTGCCCCTACAGCTGTGGTCACAGCAGCCTCTACTCCCACAGTCTCACTTACCACCAGCCTGACCACAGAAAACCCTACCACTGTCACACATTCACCCACAAGTACCACTGGTGCAGTTAGCACAACCGGCATCACTCCCACACCCACTCTCACAACATCAAGTACCCTCACAAGTACGGCTCCACCTACATCTACACTTACAACAACATTTCCCACTTCACTATCAGCCAGCACCACAAGCACAGCTACCCAAGAGATCACCTCCACACCCACCACCACCACCACCACGACCACCACCACAATGCCCACCTCTACCGCAGGCACCTCTTCCTCTACATCCACTACCACAGTCACAACATCACAAACTACGTCATCACCAAGCTCCACTTTAGCTACCACAGAAGCCAGCACCACGAATGTGGTGACATCTACTGCAACATTCAGACCCACTTTGACAATCACTCCGAACCCTACCGGCTCCACACAGCCTGCCAGTACACCTCAGACATCCACAACCCCAGCGATTTCAACACCCACTCCTACAAGTTCCGTTCCTTCCTCCACGACAACCACAACCACTGCTACGACCACCCGAACCTCAAGAGCGTCCACGCCCAT